ATAGGTTAGGTGATTTAGTTAAAAAGGATGAAACCAAAGCTTTTGAATATTATAGTATATTAGCAAAGAAGGAAATTTCTGATGCACAATTTCAACTTGGAAATTGTTTTTATTATAAAATAGGAACGGAAATTGATAAGGTTCAAGCTTATAATTGGTATAATAAAGCAGCATATAATGGAAATATTATTGCAAAATATACTTTAAAAAAAAATTATAATAAAAAATTTAATTTTAAAAAGAAAAAAAATGAAAAACTTTATAAAGTAATATATTTTGAAGGATTATTACAAATTGGAATTAGTAATTATAATGGAATTGGAACTAAACCAAATTATAAAAAAGCATATATTAATTTTTATAAAGCAGCAGAAAATGGTAATATAATTGCACAATATAATTTAGGATATTGTTTTAAAATTGGTAAAGGTATTGAAAAAAATGAAAGAAAAGCTTTTAAATTATTCAAAAAGTCAGCTGAACAAGGATGCTTAGATGCACAATATCAACTTGGTCATTGTTATCTAAATGGAATTGGAGTCGAAAAAAATAAAGTTAAAGCTTTTGAATTATATAAAATCACAGCTGAAAGTGGTAATATTTATACACAAATTAATTTAGTTTTATGTTATCAAAATGGAATAGGTACTGAAAAAGATGAAATTAAAGCTTTTGAATTAATTAATATAGCAGCTAAAAAGAAATATGTTAATGCACAATATCAGCTTGGTTATTGTTATCAAAAGGGAATTGGAACTGAAAAAAATGAAGTTAATGCTTTTGAATTATATAATATAGTGGCTAAAAAGGAATATGTTAATGCACAATATCAGCTTGGTTATTGTTATCAAAAGGGAATTAGAACTGAAAAAAATGAAGTTAAAACTTTTGAATTATATAATATTGCAGCTAAAAATAATAATATTTATGCACAAATTAATTTAGCTTCATGTTATCAAAATGGAATAGGTACTGATAAAAATGAAATAAAAGCTTTTGAATTATATAAAATTGCAGCTGAAAAAGATGATATTTATGCACAAATTAATTTAGCTACATGTTATCAAAATGGAATAGGCACTGAAAAAGATGAAATTAAAACTTTTGAATTATATAAAATTGCAGCTAAAAAGAATGATATAGATGCACAAAACTGTTTAGCCTTTTGTTATTTAAATGGAATAGGTATTGAAAAAGATGAAATTAAAGCTTTTGAATTATATAAAATTGCAGCTGAAAAAGGACATAGTCAAGCTCAAAATAGACTTGGTAAATTATATAGAAATGGAAAAAAAATAGAAAGAAATTTAAAAAAGGCTTTTTATTGGTTTCATAAATCAGCAGAAAATGGATTTAATGTTGCTAAATATAATATAGGTATATGTTATCAATTAGGGATAGGCATTGATAAAAATGAAAATAAAGCATTTTATTATTATCAAAAATCAGCAGAAGATGGATTTATTACTGCAATGTTTCTACTTGGATACTGCTATGTAAATGGTATTGGAACAGGAATTAATAAAGATAAAGGTATTCAATTGTATAATGAAGCATCCAGAAAAAAATATAACATTTTACAAACTAATAATAATTTACCATATAAAAAAAAATTGGATATAAATTATTTAAATAAAGTTAATTATTGGTTTCAAAAAGCAGCTGAAAGTGACAATAGAATAGCATTATATAAATTAGGTGAGTTCTATGAATTCAAAGATAGCAATATAATTTTTTTAGAAGATGAATTTATATCATTTGAATTTTATAAGAAATCTGCTGATAAAGAATATATTTATGCACAATATAAACTTAGACATTGTTATGAAAATGGCATTGGAACTAATATTGATAAAAAAATGGCATTTGACTTATATATAAAAAGTGCTAAAAAAGGAAATAATAAAGCACAAAAATGTCTCTCATTTTTATATGAACAAGGTGAAGGAACCGAAAAAAATTCAGATAAGGCTATCTTTTGGTATAATAAAGCAGCAGAAAGTGGTTTGCAAGAGAAGAAGTGAAGTTAAAATTTATTATTATTAAGATATAATTATAATAGTGCATTAATAATCATTTTTAGAAATATCTTTGTATAAAATAATAATTTGTCCTATAAAAATTTTTATTAGTATATTTTAGAAATATAAACACTTTTACATAGGTGATAATACAATAATATTTACTTTTTAAAATTGTTTTCTTTTTACATAATATAATCATTAATCAGTTTTAAATAAAAACATTTAAATTAACTTAAATATATGCCCGTTAATTTTACAATATTTGAAAAAATAAATATATATTAGTAATCAATCCTTTAATAACATAAAAACTTAACACTAGACTTTCAGATAACCTATTTACCGTTAAATATTTTTAATTAATTATATTATTTTTTTGAAATATGTTTGTTAGTTTAAAGTTCCAATTAAATCAAAGATCCACTTTAGATCTAAGAACGCCTTACTCACTTATCGACGAAGATATATAGATACAGTATTTATAATACAAGATAGACCTTATTGAACTAACTATATACTTAAAATTGTTCATAAAGAAGTAATGATGAAATTGTAAACAATAGCAAGATTTCATAATCAAAATAACAAATTCAATTTAGTTTTAGCACTAAATCTCGAAGTTTCTTAAATTTATGGAATGCAAATTATTAACTAAGTTATTATGTTGCACAATATACAATATACGACGTTTTGCGAAATTAGATTATATTTTCTATTGTGAAGCTGAAAAATAAAAAAAATGAGCAACGGTAAAAATACCGTCTTAAAGATGAGGAGTAATGACAATTTATACGAAGATTTATAATATTTTGCTGTATGACCATAGCTTCTGTTCATCTTTAATAAATTTGACGATGCGAGAAAAAAAAATTACGTTTCAATCGCTTTGCATTGAGAAGATATCAATATATATTTCCTGAGCTCCTACATTTCTTGTTTAAAACCATAAATAGTCTTATCCAATTAAATTTTACATTTTCATATTATATAAAACAATGATATTTATAATAAAAGTTATTTTCTAAAGTCAGTACTGATATATCTGTTGAAAGGCCAGAATTATGTTATTAGAAAAAGTATTGTGAATTTATTTGGTGATAGCACTCTTATAAAGAAGCGACAATCTACATATTATGTGTTCATGTTTGAGAGAATTTTGTGATGAATTAATCTTTGCTAAAACAAAAATAAACAATAATGATAAGCAACAACGCTACAAATTCTTGGAGTTCAAGAATTTGAACTGATGTTCGAAAATTTATGTTACCACAGAAAAAGTTTAGAATCACTTGAAACATTCTTTACCACAAGAATTATTAAGCTGATATTCGTCTTTTACAATTTCCATCAATTTAGTTTGGTCCTTTTTTTATAGCTGATTTTTTTTTTGCCTGGTAAATAAACTTCGATTTCGCTTATAGAACAAAAAAAAAAAAAATATTCTTAAAACACTAGCGTTTGTTGGTTAGTACTTCATATATAACCGATTTTATTTTTTGTGCTCTCGAACGATTTTCTATATCGAATGGTATAGAAAATCGTTCAAAGTCAATGATAAATCGTTTTAACATCTTAATGATAAGGCATGATTTAAAATAAATATTATTTGCTTTGTAGAAATGGACTCTGTAGGTGGAAAAATCTAGTGTTAGCATCAAATAGAAAAATGGGACGATCAAGAAAATGCCGGAAGAGGGAAGGATACTCTACAGAAAGTATGGAGGATTATACGTGGTTAATTTCTTGGGATATGCCATCACGATACTGATCCATTTCTCCGGCTCCCTTCGATCACGGGTCAGTGGCAAGATATAAGGTGAAGCGGAAAAATATTTCTTGGGTTGATCTAACTGCGTGACCCAATTATCCGCATCACGACCTAGCATTAATATTTTCTTCTCGAACTTTTCTTTCCCCTCGATCAAATAATTAAGAGCGATATCTTAACATGCATGAAATCATTTCTCCATGACATCATTCTTCTACTCTAGTTCGAAAAAATTTATTTTTTTGAGGAAAATGGCCATGGTCCATATCTTCATGATGCCGATTCCAAGATCACGCTATATTTGACTTAGAATCTATCGTAATCAAAGAAATATTTTATAAATTTTATTGATTATAGTTTTTTAAAATTTTTATAATATATGCGATGTTATATGATGTAAATGTTTAATTATATCAAAATTAGTAAACAAATTTATACCTAATTACGATACATAAGCAGATATTCTTTTCGAATGAAAATTCTAACTTCAAAGATATTCCAACTGATGTACTATGAGAGAAAATCTCGCATCTCATTAATACTAGGCCTATTTTATATATATTAAACATATTTTCATGAGATAGAATAATGTTATAATGATAAGAAATTTTATAAAGAACTGACGAGCTCGAGCCTAAGTAATTAATTAGCCTGTATATTTGTATATTTTTAAGATTAACATTAATGGAAGTTACATAATTTTTGTATTCTTTGCATATTGATTTGCATTATGTTGAATCTTCTATGGTTGTAACAATGCTGTCATATATTGAAATCATTATCATTAAAATTTTAAATAATGCTAATTTTAAATTTAAAATGAAAATAACGCGTGCCTAGAAAGACCGTGGTGGAAAATTTCTAAGTGGACAATAAATTTATTACCATTTTCGAATATTCATTATACCTTCTATTAGCTTTGTTGCACAACAAATTGTTGAGCGAAGGAATCGTCGGGTTTAGCTTGAAATATTGTCGAATGATTATAACCGTAGAATTAAGAACTTTATTAAAAAAAAAATTTTATGTAAATCAATTTCGGTTAATTAACCGGTTAAAATTAGCTTATGACAGTACTTCAAATTTGGCCAGAGTTATCAAATATATTGAAATAATAAAAATCATAATTCTGGCAGAAAATTTGAATTTCGGATGGAATTAAAATATAACCGGAGGTTTTTAAAGATTTCCACGATACAAACGTTGATATGTGGTCCATAGGTTATTTAATCAGGACGGCTCATGTGGAACTTCAAATAAATGAACCATTAAGAGAGTACGCAATGGAACTGATGAAAGTTAATATAGTTGATACACCTTTATCAGCTGAAATGGCTATAAAATTTCTTTGGCAAAATTATCGAGAAATTCTTAGACATGAGGGGTTATTCGAGTAAGAAACAGATAACATTACTTCACTTTTATGTATTATTTGCTTAGCAAACGCAACATAATAATAAGTAACTTAATGTAATGGCTCGATTATGCAACAATAATAAAGTTCTTTCACCTTTTTTCTTTTTTCAGTCTTTTTTTTTTTAAAAAAATAAGTTTAGCTATGTAATAACCCAAATATATGATAACGCCAGAAATGAATGACTCTTTTTTTATTTATTTATTATTACGTTTGTGAAAGAAGATTAAAAATTTTGTAGGAAGATAAGGAAGACAAAAACTTACTTTTCGAAAGCGAAGCTTTTAACGAAAAGTGAGATTAATAAAATACAAATTTTTCTTTGACTTCAGAATAGTATTCAATAACTTACATTGTGAATTTAAAAAAATTTTCCACAAGTCTTCCGTAAAAATTATTGTACCACGCCACGTAAAAACACACTTTGGCTCATCTGGAACATTACATCATTTTCTTGTATCTAAATTTGTCTAAATTTGTTATCGCTTCTGAACATCAACTATCGAATAGTAAATCATCGAAATTTAATACACGATCTGATTAAATACCAAGAAAAGCTAGTTTTGCTAAATATATTGCACAATCCATCTCATATTT